ATGTGTATATATGATCTATGTAAGATATAAAGAGTGCTTTATTTTCATTAATGATACAAATACTATTCATTCAGGAATCGTACAAATGTTATGCACGTATAATTAGAATCAATATTTAAGATACATGAATGATACAAATATTCTACACAGTTGAATGATATCAACATTTGATATTCATGAATGGTTCCAATATTCTGCATAGTTGAATAGTGTCAATATTCGACATGATATAAAATACTGATATTCTACATCGGTGAATAATATTTTTTTTTTATCTGTATTCTACTCATTGGAATAATTCAAATATTCTGCATGCATGCAATGTACGAATGCTAAACATTAATTATGTGTTCTACGTTCAAGAATAGTACAGATCTGATAATTTCAACAATGACAACAAAACCAGTCACATTGTATTTTAGGAAAGTCGTTAATTTCAGGATTTTCACAGTAGAAAGGGGGGCCTATTTTTATTCACAACTGAAATTCGTTTGTACATTACAACTGATTTGCGTGGTTTTCTATTTGAATAGGCATTCCAGCAAAGCGCCTTAATAACGTGTTATTGTATGATCCAATGTATGTACCGTAGACAAACAATGACGCATGCTCATTTGGATGGTGTTTAGTCATTATGCGGTTTATTTCACGTGCATTCTCTTCATCGGTGCTGGTCACGTCTTCCGTCAAGTGTTTATGGTCCGTTCCTTTGATGCCCCCTTTTCTCCCTGCCAATCATAGAAAGAACAAATTGAACACTCCACTAATTCACCTAAGGTACGCCGAGTTGTAATATTTTTCCTCAGTGTGATCACAGAGATAAAAACAATAGAAGAAACATGTAGATGCAGATGTTTATGCAAGTTTACACTAAAGATTAAAGAAAACTGTATGGTACAATTTACCTGATCTGAATGTCGTATAGTTCAAATGACTGAGAGTGTAGCTGATATTCACTATCAAACTCGTTCAAATGATTTACTTTAGAAAAAGGCAACACATCTTATTGTTCCAGACTGCGACTTTCATCAAAATTAATGCCCGGTGACCGTCAGTTTTAAGACCTTTTGGGGAACGTGGATTAAGTAACGTTCATAGTGAGTATTTTAGTGGTGTAATCAACGCCGCCATACTCATACAGCCTAGTCGGGGAAACTAGGAATAGGCATATCAACTAAGACTTACAATGTCCTACGGTAGTAAAATGCAAATGTGTAACAAAATCATGTACATGGCATCAATGTGTCTCCTCTATCGTTATTGTACAGATGTCTCGCCGACATTGTTCGGTTCCTGGTATCGATATAGTGCAGACGTGTCTCCGGTTTCGATATTGTACCGATTTGTCTCTGCTATCGATATAGTGCAGACGTGTCTCCGGTTTCGATATTGTACCGATTTGTCTCTGCTATCGATATAGTGCAGATCTCTCCGGTTTCGATATTGTACCGATTTGTCTCTGCTATCGATATGGTGCAGATGTCTCCGGTTCCTGGATTTGTCTCTGCTATCGATATAGTGCAGATGTCTCCGGTTTCGATACTGTACCGATTTGTCTCTGCTATCGATATAGTGCAGATGTCTCCGGTTTCGATACTGTACCGATTTGTCTCTGCTATCGATATAGTGCAGATGTCTCCGGTTTCGATATTGTACCGATTTGTCTCTGCTATCGATATAGTGCAGATCTCTCCGGTTTCGATATTGTACCGATTTGTCTCTGCTATCGATATAGTGCAGATATAGTGCAGATCCGGTTTCGATATTGTACCGATTTGTCTCTGCTATCGATATAGTGCAGATCTCTCGGTTTCGAGTGCAGATGTGTCTCCGGTTTCGATATTGTACCGATTTGTCTCTGCTATCGATATAGTGCAGATGTGTCTCCGGTTTCGATATTGTACCGATTTGTCTCTGCTATCGATACAGTGCAGATGTGTCTCCGGTTTCGATATTGTACCGATTTGTCTCTGCTATCGATATAGTGCAGATGTGTCTCCGGTTTCGATATTGTACCGATTTGTCTCTGCTATCGATACAGTGCAGATGTGTCTCCGGTTTCGATATTGTACCGATTTGTCTCTGCTATCGATATAGTGCAGATGTCTCCGGTTTCGATATTCTGAAGACTGAACAAGCTTGGTTAATGTAATCATCCGGGCAAACACGACTTGTCCGTGGTATATTTTTGTGTATATTTTGAGTACGCAGTGGGTTGTTTTTATACAATGTAATGTGTACATATATATGAAACATACCCAGCAGACGTTCACTGGGAACAATATGTCAATATCTCGCTTGGGTGTACACATTTAGGTTAAATAACGTAATGGTAATCATTCAGCAACTTGAGATAAGACTGTCGACCAATGAATCACGTGACTGGTGTCCTATCGTAAAGCAAAAGTCAGAGTGAACAACAGGTAAAACTGACAATGTTCTCTAAATAACCGACAAGAAATACCGGCATTATCATTTCCCTGTTCGGGTACGAGGTGTCTACTTTATGGTATTTCTAATAAATCTGAGGAAACCGTGAGCCAAATAGTTCGCCTGGCCCAAGTAAACACACAGTCACACCTGCGCTCCGAGGCTTTCAATGACATGATTACCCCCGTCCGACTCCAACCTAGCAACCCTCGCGATCCCCTCCTGGGCTTTGTATTGCCCAGATCGCAGGTGGCTGCTCTCTCCTTTACTAGTGCACTGAATAACGACAGAGCCGCTCTACCGCTCGCTTCAACCTTCTACCCATCCAGCATGCGAGACCCCTTATGCTATCTCCCAGCAAACGGATTTGCCCAATTCGTTTCCATTCTCAAGAGACTGGTTGTATGTTTTGTAGGCTGCAGTTCTGGGTTATTTTTGGTTTGATTGTGTGTTTCTTGTTGTCTTTTTTGCTTTGTTGTTGCAAGGGCGATGTGGTGGGGGCCTGTTTTCTGTTTGGAACATACCCTTACAAAGTACATAAGTATAAAAATGGTGCTTTGAGAGTATGCAGAAAATAGTTACATATGTTTTGACACATTGAATAGTTTCACAAGAAGGAAAACAAATTAGTATATTATGTCCTTGGTGCTCTTGAATTGACGCACTGGCACCCTTGCGGTTAAACGAAGTTGTGTGTAACATCTAACGCTGGGCTTTCTTAAGTACGCCATAAACTATTGTCAATAACAGACTCTCGAATCTCCATTGTCAGATGGCACGGCAATACTGATCAACTTAACTGTCCCTCAGTAGGATTCCATAGATATAAAGGAATAGGGGTGGGATTAAGGTTTTCGGATAGATATTTGTTTTCTCTGACAAGGACCCAAAAAGAAAGCTTCGATAGCCATATACTACACCAAAGATGACGTGAGAAGGCGTTAATGGTGTTTAAGAGTTATGAAAGTAGCTGAAAGCGTTACCGAGAAAGCACTACCTCTAGATCCATAAAAATGAACAGGACTGTTGGACATTTTTATTTGCTAAGTTCCCAGCTATGTGCTGTGAAATTCAGCTCTTCTGTTGAGTTCGTGGGGAGGTTCCGTGGTCAATTTCATGACCAAAACAGGTGTCAGAAATCTATTTGATCAAGGGACTTTCGCAGTGATAAAATTCCCAGAATTAGGACAGGATTTGCTTAAGATAAAGCCTATCTTACAACAGGGGCCAAGTGTAATATCCAACTACACGGCCCTTCTAATCTGATTATCTTAATAGGCTGAAGGTTGGGAAATCCACCGGTTTGTCACTCTTTGGCGATACTGAAACGTTAGCAACAATAATGTGCAAGTCTCGGTTGGTTTACAACAATCTTTACTTGCACTAATTTGTAATAATAGCTTATTCGTTATATTTGTTGAGATGGCAGCTGATGACGTATGTCCCAGTGGGTGTGCTCTGAGGGAATCGTCAGTCTGCAAGAGGAAGTGATGGCCCTAAACAAGTCATAGCGGGGGCTGCAGACACTATGTTATATTATTGTTTTCATTCATTCAGCTTGTCAAAGGACAAAGCTATCGGTCTAAATTCTTATACGTATGAATTATACAAGTGAGGGATATAGTATATTCCTGTGGCACTTTCAACAACATTGCCCCCAACTGATGACGACAGGGGATTAAGCGACATATGACAGTGTGAAAAATGCATATCCACCAACGCGCGTAACGCCGGGTGGTTTCAGTGCTTAGTTTTACTGTGTTACTACCATTATCATCCATCCCCACAACAACAGTGTCATCTATAGGTGTTTTCTGCCCCATAACAACAGTGTCATCTGTAGGTGTTTTCTGCTTTGTAAGTGTGTCGCCGGGTGCAGTAGTATGATGACGGTCGTATGTGAGAGAGCTGGCACTTCAAAAAGAGCATAACGACATGTTGGAGTTAGCTAACACGCTTTGTAGGTGTGAAATGAGGCATGGGGTATATTCATTGACGCCATACAATGTGCAGAGGTATGGGTTAAGCCTTGCCAGTAACGATCAGCTTGGAGTAGATCTTGAGAACATCAGAAGTCATCACTCACTGTGTTTGTTAAATGACTCAAGAACAGGGGTCGCTATCAGCTATTGAATGAACGGGTAGAGCACTCAGCACACGGGATGCCCATTGACTCTGGTCTGCTCATAGCAAGTGATATTCAATAGTAACATAGGCACACAATTTGTGATAACGTCGGACGTACTGATCATCCTCTCCTATTTACATCTCCAGCCGACTCAGACAATGAGGGCAGCGCTTGTGTGATACGTCAGCCCCGCCCCTTTTATGCCTGCCTCTCAGCTAACGACCACAAGGCAATACGTAAACCAATGAGAACACTGGACGTGACTCCCACGTATGCAGATTGATCGATGATTTGTCAGCTATTGACACAAGATCAGCCTCCTGTCAGCGGCGAGTTGAGATTGACATTACCACTAGAGCGATAAGCAAACCTCCTCAAAAATTAGCAATACGAATTGGTAAAATATCATTTCAAGTCGACAGGTTTGAATTGATAAACCGAACACGTTTTGTGTATGCGTAGCTTTAGTAGGTGCTTCTGTGTCGGTTCTCTTCTGCTGGAAGTGATCACGTGCTCTCAACTTGACATCAACATAAGAATTAATTATTATAACAGTGGTGACTCCTCTCAGTGTCTGGCTGAGATCCCTAGCTTGTCGGTGACACACTGTCAGCCCTGGCTACTCTATCTCAAATGGCGAGGAGTGACCACTAGAAACCTCGATAACGTCACAGACACGGGAAAGGAAGCGCGTGGCTAGCAATGTAATGGCCTGGGAGGTGACACCTATGATACCATGTGGTCAGCATAGCAAGGATCTACTGTAACAGCTATCAGGACCTATTGAACTCAGTACTGTGGACCACACGTGTCCGCCTCACACAGCTCAAGACGACAACATCGAACCACACAACGTAGCTTGTCGGATACTCAGTTCCAGCAGTATTGAAACTGACAACTTTGAAAGTGGCTGTTGTCCTGTGTGCACGTAGCTGGCGTTGCTGCTGCACCTTTGTTGGTGTTGACATTTCACACGGAAATACTGTCTGCGTTTCCCCACGCCACGAGGAGCGAGTCTACCATGTAGGCAGTAGCTGTCACAAGTGTATGTTGTTTGTGTTGATATAGACAATATCCATGTTCTCAACAACTCTGTGCAATTGGTGTTGAAAGAACCAGATGTCCACGCAGCATCACCTAGTTTATTACAATTCATATCAATTCCAAAACATGAGTTTCACCACGACGCATAATGCTGATGTAAATCATTCGTAATTGTCTCATAACAATCTGTTTTCATTTTGTTGAAATTTCGCCGAAAATTCAATTTAGCAAATGCTCACGTACATAGTATTGACAATATTGTCCGTGGATTTTAAACAGTCATAACAGAGTATTTTGCAGGGTTAAAAATAAACATTGTAATATCTGTTTGTTGGTGATGTTTCAGATCAGGCAGCGGGGAGGGAGGTAGCGCCTCTAACGATTTAGAAGCGTGCACGGAAAAACATGAGAGGTAAGTGACGCTCACATAGACGCATATAAATAACTCCATTTTTTTTTTTTTTTTGTGTACTTAAATATTTCATCATTTTTATATTTAGGAAATATTGTGAAGACATGTGAATCAAACAGAGTGGACAGGTGCGCGCTATTTATGTTGCCATTAACCTTCGCGTATAGTAAATAAGAACCTTTCGAAGATTAGGTCAGACAGTTTGAAATGACTGGTCGGCGGTCTGACTGACGTCCGGAGGTATCGTGTCAATTCCCGCAATATACAAGAAAGCCACATGCATTTACATATTAGCCGCTGTCAGCTGTAGGTCGTGGTATTGTCCACCTCACTCAAGCTTTCGGTGACATGTGTAAACAGCAAATTGTTATTCACGGTTTTATTGTGCTGATATGTTGTTGATTTCTTTTCATTTCAAAATTGATAAATCAATTTTGTAATTTGCTGCACCATTCCTGAGAATTTCCTTCGTTGGTATTGTCCCAATTGAGCTGTAACTGCCTGTAACAGCAAGGAACAACGGTCTCGTGCACAAGATATAGCTGCTGAAGCGAGATTTTAAAGTATTACTTAAAAATGTCATGAAATCTTTTTTGAAAGTGGAAAGTGACAAGATTAAGCTTACAGTATGAACAGCCTGTTGGGGACATATTCATGTACGTAGAGTTGAGGCGGTCTGCGCTATCTACATACACCCGCCGCCGATAAACACATTCACATCCACAAAGCTGTCCACACCTTATACAAAACATGAAAGGGGCATATTTCACTGGAGTCTAAGACTTTATCACGAACAAATAAGTTTATCTTGAGACGATAGTTGAGGCCGACTGAAGCTGCGGAAGACACATGTAATCCGTATTTCAGTCTCCCAAATTGATCTTTTCAAGATGGCTTTTTGGAAGTGATTTCATCGTTCCAGCTTTATGTAACTGAGCACACAAAGCTTGTGTGATATTCTAGATAACAATACACCTACTATATAAGGGTGCCAAAATAATAAGCTTGGCAAACGTAAGGTTAACAGGCCAGTCGAGACATCAAAGAGAACCCCTAGTTAAAATTCAAGTCCCTTGTGTGCAAATTATCACTCTTGCAATTTACATGAGCTGGGATAATTGATTGCATCTCTCAGATAACGCCCGACCTTTTCCTCATATCTTATACCACAAGAAATACGTACTATCACGCATACGCTCTGTGAGAATCCAATCACATCGTTTGGCTATTCTCTGAAATCAGGATTTTGAATTATTTAGTGTTTAATTTTGTGCATCATAAACCTAATGATGTCATTTCAGTGGTGAATATTTAGTTTTCAAAAGTTCTTTGTTTTGAAATATACTGACTTACAACACGTCTAGACGGTGTTGGCAAATGCATTTAGATATTCATCTCGACATTTGAATACGAATAATGCTTTTTTCCCGAAACTTGCAACGTAAGTGTACGAGTAGTGGAGTTTGCCTCATTTCGGTGCATGTACTACTGACAAGAGTCCCCGTGTCGGGGAGGAGCGGGGATGGGCGCATAGGATGGCGTCCGTAACAGTGTATTGGCCGACGTATACACGGCGTCGCTACAGGTTAATGGTGAGCTTTGAAGCCCTACCGCAAATTGTGTTTTACACAGGCCAATTTGTGTGAACTGGGGACAAGAGATGTTTACATACGGAGATTGAGTATGTAGGAAGAGCAGTAGGAGACGGGGCGGGGGTGGGCACTGGGGACAGTGGGGGAGGTGCAGAAGAGAGACGAACAAGTACCATCAACACACAAAACCTCTCCATATAAATCTAAATATAAAAGTCCACAAGTCCCTAATTGAACTCAAGTCAATATTGCGCAATGCAGAATTATATTATATTATATTATATTATATTATATTATATTATATTATATTATATTATATTATATTATATTATATTATATTATATTATATTATATTATATTATATTATATTATTCTGAAACGACAATATATTTGCAATGCATACATACATGTGTGTATATGATATTACAAAGTGTCAATTCACAGACGGCGTGCGCTATCAAATCTATTCAGAATATTATGAAAATTACATAACAGATTCCCTTCAAATAGTTCCATTGATGTTCTTAAGTTATGGTGTATTTGAACCCCGAGGGTATTTCACTTGGAGGTTACGCACTTTTTCCATCACTTGTATTTTACCAGAGTTCGCCAAAATGTGTTCCTTGCAGTACTGGAAGACTGACTGCATGTGTTCCTCACATCACGCATAGACAATCTGACAATAATCATTAGTGCTATCCCAACACACATGTAGTGTGTGAGCTTCTGTTCTCACACACGCAGTGTGACATGTATGCAAAACGTGCGTTTGTATGTGCTGTACGAGCTTACTTAAAAATCACATAATCTAATCGTATATATAAAATGAAAACTGCAAGAGCGCTAACAGTTATTTTGTATTAATAAATCAAATATTAATCAGCGTAGGCTATCGTCACTTTGAATTTCATCTGGCGGATTACCGACGACATGCATTGCCCTTTAACTATCTGCTTTCCATTGTAACATTAGAATACGATCCTTACGCATTGATGAATTCCGGTAAATTCCACTATCCGAACTCGCATTTAACTAGTCTACCTATGCCACAATCTACCGAGGGCAATTGTATATTCGTGTGTCCCTGAACGGCAATCTGGGTAAATACACATGGAAACTGCAAGTCAAACGCTGCACCTACGTGAAAGCTATTGTTCCCGGGATTGAAAGTAATTAGATGCTCTTCACAATTCCATCTACCAGCTTGCTGACAGTATGTGTTTCCATACAACGAGAATAACTGAGATTTTTAAGGATGTGTTTTTGGAATGACTGGGATAGAGTATGATTGTGGTAAGGAATTGTGGATAGATAGTAAAAGAACACAGAAAAATGTAATCTATGAGATGAGAATATTACGAAAGAATGTTATGAGTAAGAACAAATCTTAATTAAAGAAAGAATCACGACTCCGAACGTGTGGAACAAATTATACCCACACGGCACCTCCCAAATATTGCGTTACTATGAACATCAGCGCCACACCGGGAATTATGCGCTCCATATCAATCACAGTTTTTTTTCTGGAATATACTTCATATCTAAGAAAATGTAATGTAGTCAGAATGCCTTAATTAGAAATGTTTTTACACATATAATCAAAGTTTCTAATCAAATATTTGTATGAATAAATAAATAAATAAATAAATAAATAAATAAAATAAATAAATAAATAAATAAATAAATAAATAAATAAATAAATAAATAAATAACCACGCCTTCTATTTTTCTATGTATTACTTCTGTTTCTTCCGTTATTCTGACTATGAAAATTGTAATTTCTGTTTGAAATATACATTTATAGCAAAGTTATAAACGATTGGCGTTATGTTTTTCTAAATAAGTTAAAGGTAAACTCGGCATCTCATTTTGTAACGAAATATATTGAGAGACGGGAAATGGAAGCACATCACAATGAAAGGAAGATAATTGAAGTTAGCTATAAAATGACGATTACAATCAAGTTTATTTTCCACCAGTGGTTAATATACGTTGTTTGAGGATATTTGTGTATAATATTGTATTATTTTAATGTCATTTTCTGTAATATATATTTAATATCATGTTCTACGTATTATCAGGGTTGAAGCGATGAAGGAAAAATCAAAGAATGCAGCACGCACGCGGCGCGAGAAGGAGAATGCGGAGTTTTACGAGTTGGCCAAGATGTTGCCACTCCCGTCCGCCATCACTAGCCAGCTGGACAAGGCGTCCATCATCAGACTGTCCACAAGCTACCTGAAGATGAGGACGGTGTTCCCAGATGGTAGGCCCAACATATATCTTAATACCCCTCTCTGTCACTTACCATATACTTGTGGAAACTTACACTGCACGATAGGCATACACTCGCCAGCCTCATACTTATACACGGGCAGCTTTTTATCTCACCATGAACGGTCACACTGGACCTTTGTCTTATATGCAATACCCTGTGATCTTAAATTAAACTGACTATATTAAATCATCAAAGCGCGTCGTCGCCTTGGACGCAAAATATGTAATTTTACGCTCTTTCTCATTACGGGTGTTGTTACAATGAACAATAGTCTTGTCTACTCTTCTGAAAATACAAATCGGTCGTCATGTTGCCCTCATCTCTCACAACTAATTCGTATGACTGCAGTCAACAGTGTTACCCTATTTGTTCTGAACGATGAATACATAAAATTAATATGTGACTGTGTCTTTAGTATATGAAACAGACGATATTCTTCGTTCCTACAAATAACATATCGATATGTATTTTTCGTTTTCGCCGGAAGTCCACAGATGGGAAACATTCCTAATAGCTAAACTAATCGGTTGATGAAAACCAACTGTCAGAATTCAAATACAGCATATTCTGTTGCATTTTTGTCAAGAACTTGGAGAGAATCGTACGACATATTACCGTGTTAAGTCCTATTTACTTGTTGATATTTGGTGTAATATTTCACTCATAAATCAATTTCCGATTAAGCATGTAGCGTGAAACTTGTTTCTTAGATAAACCGGAGTTGCACTTTATTGGATTGGCAATAAATGTGTTTAGTTTGACATAGAATAAATAAAGTAACAAATGTGTGAAATAATGTTTATTATCTGGCCCACTTGAGCCTGAAATTTATGATATTCAATTGTTGCTGGGACAATATGATTTATACATTATACCGCCAGCGGTTAGACACTACCACGCCTCAAGTGACATGAAATGCATCCATTGATACTCAAACTAGTTTTATTGAACAATAAAATGTCTCCAATATTTGTATGAATCCAGAAATTCCACAAATTGTACAGATTTAGTTACTGTGCGCAATTGCTTGTCTCTTATATAGAACTTAGTTATTGATATGGAACTGTAACGAAGGCGACTTCCCTTCGTTATTTGTGTGGCTGTGAATGGTGTTAATAATATTCCCATTAATCATTGTATGATAACCTCAAATTTGCAGGTGCAACATTTGGGTAAATTGTTCAAAATAATTGTTCAAGGTTAAAGTATTTTTTTAAAGTTTAAAACAAATGTCTGTTCATTAATCAGTCCAAATGATCAGTATGATGTCCAGTGTTTAATCATTGATCACGACAAATATATTTGGCTCTGTCTGTCGAGTACCAGGATAATCAGCCTCGTTTGCAATTTCTTTTTTCCGCCTCGCTCGCAACAAGTCCTACATGGCGGTGCGCGCGTGTCCAGCACAGCGGGGACCTGCCTGGAGTGTTATTATAATTGCTAAATGCTTGGGGGACAATTAATTTGAAGATGCTGCCATGCGGGAAAGGATAGGGCCTATGGCAAGATGTGGATCTTTTCTAGTACTGTAAGATCTGCCTATGCTCCCATGTTTTAGGCTAGCACAGTCCTGGTAACGTGTAGATAATATAAAAAAGCACCTCGACCAACTTCATAAATAGGCATTAACTTACACTATATAGTTTACATTTTTCTTTCAGATATAAATTTCAAAATTATTTCAGTGACACAGTGTTAGGCGTCTACCATGGATTTTTTTTATTTCCATGAAAACTATTTGGGGAATAATAATAACATGCTAGTAAATGATGAATTTGGAAAGCTTTTACTACTATTAATATCCCTGCAGAAAAGCTGAAACAAAAAAACTGATGTTATTTGTTTTTCCCAAGCGGTGTACTTTTATTTACTCAATATTGTCTTCAACTAAATGCTGACTTCCAATTATAGGCACTAAGTAATGGTTATTTCATGTGGACGCCGTCATCCTGATATCTCCAATTTAAATAGATTGGCGTTTTATTAGGCTACAGTCTTAAAACAACCACAAGCAGTACATTTCCTCTTTAATTCAGCAACAATAAATTTCACAATAACTTTTGAGATATCATCTCAGTTTGGCACCCAAGGCGCAACAACACGTGCTATCATCGCAGGGGTTAATTACTCAGCCTGTTAACCGCCATTTACAATGATGTACTGCTGCGCCGTGAACTATAGTGCCATTAAACAATCTCATCATTAGGCGAGAGTAACCAGTGCATCAACTGATACGCAAACGTAACTATCTTGACGTTGTTTCAAGAAATTTCACGATTGCCGAGAAAGGCGCTAGAGCGATGAATATTCTGTATACACAAACCCCTTGTTCTTTGTAGATTTGAGTATAATAAATAAGCATAAATGTACTGACACATTGACACATAGTCCAATACTTAGTTTTACATGTGTACATTGTTACATAAATACTGGTATCTGCCAGATTAGTATTTAGTTAGGAATGTCCCACGGTGCCGTAAAGTCAGACACATGTCCTACAGTGCCGTAAAGTCAGACACATGTCCTACAGTGCCGTAAAGTCAGACACATGTCCTACATTGCCGTAAAGTCAGACACATGTCCTACATTGCCGTAAAGTCAGACACATGTTCTACATTGCCGTAGAGTCAGACACATGTCCAACAGTGATGTAAATTCAGACCTCAGAGGTATTTAGTCGGACTATCGTCTACTAGTATTATGTAGACCGACTCATGTCCCGCAGAAGCATAGCATACAACCAGACGCATGTCCTACTGTAGCATGTATGAATACACTTAGTCCTACAGTGCCATGTTGTCAGACTCGTATCCTACAGTGATATACAGCCAAATATATGACTTGACGAAACAAACCAAGTCCTTTACTGTCAGTTTTGAACAATTCATCCAAATGCGCGTACGCAGCTTTGCACCAGGCCCTTTGTATACGAAGGTTGTAAAGAAAGCGGTATTGTATACGCAGACAAAAGGTTAATTTCTCCTCTGGCCACAGCCGGACATTAGAGTTTGTTACTATCGAATGCTAATTCTTTTTCACTTACTCTTGGTTTTCAGTGTGTCTTATTGGCAACAATGTCAATCGTTGTTTGGTTAAGGTTGAAATAATTTCTCGCTTTATTCCGTTCTCTAGCGATTATATCTGAGAATAGGAGTCATTACACACTAGAATCAAGTATGTTCTTGACCCCTACAGATATGTGCACCTGACTCTTCTGTTATGGGGGACCCTTAATTACCTCACACAGTAAAACAGAATTTGTGACTCTAGGATCAAAAGCACAGTTATCAAAGTCTCATAATCACTTACTGTCACAATTGGTGACTGTGACATTGTATCATCTGACTGTGCCATAAGTCTAGGAGTTACATTTCAGAGTAACCACGGAACAACGTGTCAATCAAATGTCAAATCACAACATCAGTCGAATATGATATCTTCTCAAAACAGAAACAGTCAAACTCTGTTTGCAAACGTTTGCGTCAATAGCCCAGCTTCTCTACTATCTAGAACTTCAGAGAATTCAAAAGTCTGCATCACCCCTCATTACTCGTTCCCGACGCAATCCCTCCACTAGGTACCCATGGAGTGCATTGAGTGCAAAATTATTATTGTAAGTACTTCTATGACAATGACGCCTGTTTCTCACAAGCCCTGCCAATCTCTTCGTTATGTGGGCTGGTTCTCCTTAACTCTCTCTGGAACAATCTTCCAATATCTCTCAGATCTTCGAAACAGCTCATCTCTTTCTGTTTCAAAGTATGGTTGTTATGCTGCAGCTGTATGGTACTGACTGTATATCCCACAGGACGTCTGTTTGTTATGCTGCAGCTGTATGGTACTGACTGTATATCCCACATGACGTCTGTTTGTTATGCTGCAGCTGTATGGTACTGACTGTATATCCCACAGGACGTCTGTTTGTTATGCTGCAGCTGTATGGTACTGACTGTATATCCCACAGGACGTCTGTTTGTTATGCTGCAGCTGTATGGTACTGACTGTATATCCCACAGGACGTCTGTTTGTTATGCTGCAGCTGTATGGTACTGACTGTATATCCCACAGGACGTCTGTTTGTTATGCAGCTATATGGTACTGACTGTATATCCCACAGGACGTCTGTTTGTTATGCTGCAGCTGTATGGTACTGACTGTATATCCCACATGACGTCTGTTTGTTATGATGCAGCTATATGGTACTGACTGTATATCCCACAGGACGTCTGTTTGTTATGATGCAGCTGTATGGTACTGACTGTATATCCCACAGGACGTCTGTTTGTTATGCTGCAGCTGTATGGTACTGACTGTATATCCCACAGGACGTCTGTTTGTTATGATGCAGCTATATGGTACTGACTGTATATCCCACAGGACGTCTGTTTGTTATGCTGCAGCTATATGGTACTGACTGTATATCCCACAGGACGTCTGTTTGTTATGATGCAGCTGTATGGTACTGACTGTATATCCCACAGGACGTCTGTTTGTTATGCTGCAGCTGTATGGTACTTACTGTATATCCCACAGGACGTCTGTTTGTTATGATGCAGCTGTATGGTACTGACTGTATATCCCACATGACGTCTGTTTGTTATGATGCAGCTGTATGGTACTGACTGTATATCCCACATGACGTCTGTTTGTTATGCTGCAGCTGTATGGTACTGACTGTATATCCCACATGACGTCTGTTTGTTATGATGCAGCTATATGGTACTGACTGTATATCCCACAGGACGTCTGTTTGTTATGCTGCAGCTGTATGGTACTGACTGTATATCCCACAGGACGTCTGTTTGTTATGCTGCAGCTATATGGTACTGACTGTATATCCCACAGGACGTCTGTTTGTTATGATGCAGCTGTATGGTACTTGACTGTATATCCCACAGGACGTCTGTTTGTTATGATGCAGCTGTATGGTACTGACTGTATATCCCACAGGACGTCTGTTTGTTATGATGCAGCTATATGGTACTGAC